TTTTTTGAATAAAGGCTGATAGTTTCGAAAGAAACTGTTTGGGGCTGCGTCGGTGGGAGTAACGAAATAATTTGGATATATCAACAAAGTTGAAATGGTAAATTGGCCACCGTAACGATTACAAAAGCTGACGTTTCGAGCGTTAGCCCTTCGTCGGAGCGAAGGGCTATCGCTCGAGACGTCAGCTTTTGTAATCGTTACGGTGGCCAATTTACCATTTCAACCGTATTGATATATCCAAATTATTTCTTTTTTTTGGTTTTAGACGGCAAATTTCAGGGTTTTGAAAGGTTCGGCACTCGACACTCATCAGAAAGCCCAGAAGAATCCTTCATACCCTCAGTTACGGAAACGTCAACATGCAACATATAAACTTGTGGGTTTTGTGGAAGATAGGCCTCGATGGGAATGTTCCACTCACTTGTATTGTGGAAGATCCGGTATTTTTCCTTGCTCACGAGAGGTCAGACAACACTGCTGTAACTGTGATTTGGCATCCATCCAATCTTGATTAATAATAAACTCCTAGAGAAACAAGAGTCGACAATTTTCTTTGAAACATGAATTAGGGTCAACACAGAAATGTGTGTCGTTCATGCCGCACGTTAAGATAAAAAGAGAGAGGGAAGTGGTTTGGCTGAACAATCACATTTTTCGAATAAAAATCGAGAAACAAAGCGTAATAAGGTTCCTCGATTTTTCTTTTGAACCTTGAGTTGAGCTGACATTTTAAAGCTACACTAATCAGCTACTATATAGCCGCGGTGAAATAAAAATCCAAAGATGAGGAAAGGGTTCTGTAGTAAGACCGTAAAGGTGACAAGTAACATTACGTCAGTCAATTTAATTCGGCCATTCGTGGATGTCACCAATAGTTGGTTGACACGTTTTTCATCCCTTAAACGAGGCTGTTCACAAGAGCCAATCAGACCAAAGATAGATATCACAAGGAGCCAATGAGAACTGAAAGAAGGGTAAAAAAGCGACTGACTGAGTGTTGGATTTGACTGGTTGAGCGGGTGTCGTGAGTTTTTTGGACCAATCACACGAAATCAAATGAAATTTTCTATAACTTTAAAAACCACACCCTTGATTCAAACTAGCCCTAAACAGATCGTCCCATAGTAAAAAAGAACACTGATTTCATCTTCAAGTAGCAACCGAATGTAAATCTGACCCCCCCCCCAAAAAAAAAACAAACAAACAAACAACAACAACTAGTAGCAAGTTTGTTTACCTCGAGCCGTGGGAAGAGACAGACATGGCAAAACGTTTCCACGTATCGTAAACCTTTATCCACGTACAGGGCAGCAACAAAAGCTAAGATTAAAAAAAAAGGGTTTGGGTTAGGGAAAGTATTGGACTAAACCTGGCTGGATAAAACTGAAAAAAATTTACCTTCCAGTATATCTGCAAGAAGCTTCTCCCGATAGGAATTCATTCCCTGGTGTACGAAACACAACGATAGGAAATGAAACATGACGAGAATCATCCTCAATTGCATTTTTTTTTTTTTCAAAGTAAGGACATGAGAAATAAAAATCGGATCACTATAGAAGGCAATTTTAAGCTCGGGCTTAAAAGAGAATTTTAACAACTGTGAGCCTGAACATTAAATGATTCTTCAACTTGAAATCAAGGCTGTAACACAATTGCTACAAACATGACATCCTTGAAACCTAAGAAAATCTTAAAGAGTGTCATATGGACATCATTTTGCTAGTTGACTGAACAAGTAGACGTACACTGAGTGTGCCTGTAATACAATAGAGAGAAACTATTAGGACTAACACACCTGGTTTCCAAAATTTATCAGCTTGTCCAGTCCCAGCTCTCGCGCGATCGTTGCCTGGATTCGATGATTGACGAGAGAGCTTCGCAGCAACTGAAATGAAAGAAAGAAATAGCAAATATTTAAAGAAGAAAATAAACTGGAGTGAGGTAAGTTTAACTTGTGAGTTTTGACCCTAATGGTAAGATTAGAAACATTTTATAGTGATTTTGCGGGTTGACAGCTTCGCACGTTCGCCTGTAACGTTTGTGTAGCGAGAACAGTGGCCCTCCTATTTAAGCCTTACCGTTAGATGTCCCTCGTGGTGTTCAGGGAAGTGCTTGAAGAGATACACGGACACGACAAACTGCAAAACAGAGTCACCCAAGAATTCCATACGCTGGTTGCTGCCACTGAAAGCAAACCATAAAATAAGTGTGCTTCAAATCGATCACATAACTACTTGAACACGGTGCAAGGTCTCCAAAAGCTGTCACGTTGTCGGGTTCCTTTGCGATCGCTCTCAAAGGAAAAAGTTCTCTGACAATCCTAGTTAAGATCGATCCAGTACAGAAGGAAAGATACAAAATTTTTCACAGCGTAATAATATCGGAACAATATTGGCGATGTGGATACAAGCCGAATGTACAATTTACTCTTCTCTCAGTTCGAGGTCAGACAAACAAATTTTGCGCTTTTCGCTTACCGTATTTACTCGAATAAGCGCCGCGGCGCTTATTTAATTTTTCGCGCCACAAGTGCGGCGCTTATTCGAGGGCGGCGCTCATTTAAACATTGTACCAGACAAATTTACTTTTTCTATATTTTTATTCAACGGTACACTTTCTATCTGTCAATTTTCCTGTGGACTGATGCTAAACTGATAGTAAATCTAGAATTACGAGAGAAGTTCATGCGGTGTAAAAACCCCGAGCGTTTCATGATAACGAGAGCGAAAATATCAGCGGTAAGAGCGAACTCACATTTAAAGAATATAAATTGCCGATGCTGTGTTAAAATTGTTTTATAGTGTTTTCCTGGTTATACGGAATTCCTCGAATAAGCGCCGCATCAGGGTTGCGGTGCTTATTAACTTTTTTTGTCCCAGGTGCGGCGCTTAATAGAGGGCGGCGCTTAATAGAGGGCGGCGCTTATTCGATTAAATACAGTATCCTGGGAGATTAAGGAACACTTTTCATAGAAAGTTGGGACAAAGCAGCGCGACGAAAATTTTTATAGAATGATCTTTACATGCCCAATCGTGTTCGAATTACGCTTCTTATGGCAACGACAAACTGCAGTGATCTGGTACCCAGTCTACCGACTATGGATGCTACTTACAGTGTGAGATTGTTGAAGCCGACTTGGGGATGGGTGAAGGCACGCGCCAGCAGCCGAATGTGGGTGAACTCAATTCCACTTGCTTTCTCAAACTCCTCCAGTTTCTGACAGCAAAAAGAACAGCAAAGTCAACGACAGGAATCCTCTTAAATACAGCTTTTGCTGTTGCAATGATTTCATCTAGAGTAATGAACCAGAAGAAACACGACAAAACGAGAACATCTTAACTTTCAAATAACAATAATAAAAAAAGCAATTAAGAGTGTCTGCTGACATCCCCTTCTGGAGTTTTATTAGACGCACAAGTAACTTTAAGTGTCTTCTCCCGGCACCCCCGTAATCGTAATCCTTCAATCTGAAAACTGCTAGGAACTATCGGCATTTTCTAGGAAGCGTAACTTCTCTTCAAGATGCTCAATTTTATTTCCAGGTCTCTACTCTTTCGGCTTCTGGTGCGAGAGAGACCCTGGGAACGATTCGCGCTAAGTAAAAGCTTGGATGATATAACCATACAAAAATAAACATACAGAAAGCTTTTAAGTTAGGTTTACATTAAAAAATAAAGACATCATGTTCCTAGCCATAAAAAAAAAGAGTCATGAATTCAGGATTATCAAATGGTTCACAAAGAAAAGAAAATGAGTAAAAACCTGAAGAATTGGGGATGACGCTATCAAGTGTCTGTCGCCGTCTGGTTGTTGAGCCTGTTTGGAAAACAATATTTGGGTCAGCAATAAATGTTCATGGCCTGTTTCAGGCGTTCATACTGTTACTAGTCGAGTGCTCAATGAATGAAAAAAGAGAGAGGTTTGGACCGACGTTTTTGTTCTGCGAAACTGGAGACTTGGAACAAACTACAGAAGTAAAAAAATTGATACACACTTGGTGGGTTACGCCAGCCTTTGCCGACAGCTCGTATGTCCGTATGCATGTACAAACGTACGAGCGTGTGTACGTGCGTGGGTACGAAAGTACGCACGCACGTGCGTACGTACGTAGGTACGTATACAAGTGCGTACGCTGTGCTCGATCCATACATCATGACCTCGAACCATGACCTCCGGCAGAGGTTGTATCTTCTACTTGCGCTAATGTAGGGTGAGCTTGATGAAAGGACACGCCATGAAATACTTCCCTGAGGGCCTTACAACATTATATTCCTTGCAAAAAAGAATCCCACTTCAGCGCTGCCACAAAGGAGAATTTCAAGCACAAAACGTAATTGAAAAAAGTCACATATCGATGAAAGTTTCTTTCTTTGCTTATTCACCTGTAAAGGATGCTTTGGCAAGTTTGTCCAGACATCTCTGAGTTCCTGAAAACAAAACGTATCAACGATCAAAAAAAATGAGAAGATTTAAGAAATACACAACGACTGAAAAACCCAGAATAAAGCAACCCGAACCTGTTCTTCAAAGGCCACGTTTGTGAACAGAATCGTAGCTGATGTCAGACCACTCTCCAAATACATAGCCCCTGGGAAAACAACAGCTACCGTCAGAAAAAACGTTTATGATTTAATTTTTTTTTATTCCATTTTATTCGCTATTGCATATAAAAATATAATTAACCGTTTACAACAATTACAGATTAATAGCGAGGAAACCTACCAAAACCTATTTAAGGCCTGTAAACTTAGGTTCCCTCACAAGAGGTTTGAGATAAATAAACCTAGACAACAGATTAACCCTATAACTCCCCTGTGTGACCAAGATAGAATTTCTCCTTACAATATCAATACAATATCAAGCAGAACAGTGATGAGAATAAAGAAAATTATTAAAAACTAGATCATTGGATAATGCAATTCAAGACTTTTTATTGGCTTAGCCATTATGGTATATCAGCCAATATACCATAATCTACAAATATGGCAAGCGTACGTGTCAGCTTAAAATTAAAAGGGAGCTAAAAATTTAATAAAATCTAATAATTTAATTTCACGTTTTTAATAAAACAATTATTCCACTCGCCCTCCCACATACATGAAGAGTGCAAAATCTGGTTGACAAAAAAAAACTTTTTTTCACACCTGAATAATATCACATTCTGACTCACCTTGTTTGGGTTCATGACAAGAGAGTTGACACATGATTTTGAATATTCCCCCAATTTGTCAGCATTTAAAGTAAAATCACCTGGCTGTCGGAGACAACATAAAAATTAATTAGAGAAACAATTGTTTTTAAAAAACACAAGCACTGGAGTGCCCAAGCCAAGGGATTACTGCTCTGGACTGCAGATCAAAATGATTGGGTTAGAGCTACACCACCTTGGGTCAATATTAAGTGTCCCTGAGCCACCCATGAGTATGACTGGGTACCTGAGAAATTGCTGGAAGTAACCTGCAATAACCGCTAAAGATTAGCAATACTTGTAGTTACTTCAAGCTACACAAACCAAGACAGGCTGCCACAGATATGACGTCCAATTAGTCGTCATACATACTTTTATACACTCAAATACAGTAGTTTCTCGGTCATAAGGCACACGGTTTTTTCAAGCAAATTCTGTCTTCGGGTGGAAAGTTAGGGCTGAAATTGGGGTGCGTCTTATAGCCAAGTATATTTTCGCAACTAAATCTTAAAATCACAACTTTAGCAGAACTTATGGTTAAAAAGACAAGAAGAGGACGCGAATTGTTGGTCATTGATTTTTTTAGATCTGGTGCATGGCTCTGAAAAGAGCACCGTTTCTTATGCGGCCTACGAAACGAATCCCACGCGAGCAGAACTTTTTGGCCTGAGGTGTAGCAAAGATTGGATAGAACTCATTGATACAACAAGGAGCAATCAACAATACATTCCCAAAGAAGCAATTAATACTGTACTCTTCAAATAATATGTTCCATCTGAATTTATTTTGGCCTTAACTTTTTTTTTTTTTTTACCTTAACAAGAGGTTCAGCGGAGTCTAAAATATGGGACAAGACATGGCTCATTGAAAGAAGTTCATGGTTTGCAGCTGAATTACTCACATCTAGAGGAAGAAATAAATGCAAGGTAAAAAGGAATTTGCCACCACTTCTGAGACTAAATACCTCATAATGACCAAATTTGAGGTTCATACTATAAGTTACAGATCAAGTTTTTATGACCCAAGCACACACCCACAGACCATAAATCAAAGTGGAAAAAAACAAGGTTCTACAGTTGATAGAAAGGACCATGAAAACAATGTTAGCAAGATTGTTACTATATCCCAAACAAACTTTTGAAATTAGTGGGCCATACAATGAAATGTGGCCTGCTAATTGACCAATTGTAGCACACATACTAATTGAGATATGCAAGACTTGTTAATTATTCTCAAGATGACAAGCAGTTGAGACACCCATACATGTAGTTGACCACTCACAGGTTAACTCCTGTGGGTGACCAAGATAGAATTTCTCCTTACAATATCAATACAATGTCAAGCAGACAGGTGAGGAGAATAAAGACAAACATCAATTAGGAGATTATAAGTTTATCCAATACTGAATTCGCTGAAACAATGTCACAAGAATTGTAAAGAAAACAGTAAGGAGAATTGCTAAGGAGATCACAAGAGTGAAAGGGTGAAGTAAATAACGTGTTGAAAAGCCATAGAATAGTCCATAATAGTCCATAATAATAGCCCATAATAGTCCATAATAATAGCCCTTAATAGTCCATAATAATAGCCATAATAGTCCATAATAATAGCCCGTAATAGTCCATAATAGTCCATAATAGCCCATAATAGTCCATAATAGTCCATAGCAGAATAAGTAGTCGTTGAGAATACATAATACAAGTATTTTTGTCGGGAGGATGCGAGAGAGGAAGAGCCAGTGATCTCAGGGGTAAGAGGGTTGGAAAACTTTGGGCGTTGATAGAAAACGGAAATCTGCCGAATTTTTCTTTTTACTGGTTCACTCGCGGTGATCGCAATTGAACTAATTAGGAGATAATTAGTTAATTCAATACCAAACCCTCCTGACTAGCATCATAAGAATTGTATGGTCAAGAAATACATTGGTGTGAACGTTTGAGTACTTACCAAGCAAGGCTTCAAAGCAGTTTGCCATGGCGTGATTGAGATCGTCTTCCACGCACAAATCTGGGCTGAAAAATAAAATAAAATAACAAAATTCAGGCAATAGTTCATGCAAAAACCAACGCAAAAAACCAACTGTGTATGTCAGAAGCGTAGGTTACATACCCGTGCGAATACTGCATGTAGTCGGACAAACCCAGTTTCTAGGGAATGTAAAGATAAGAAGAGAGAATGTACATCAGAAGAAGGAAAACACGCTCAAAACATTGAAAATAAAATTCAAATTTAGCTAATACAGAAAACAAATTAAAGGTCGTGCTTCGTGCGCCAATGCGTCCCTTATGATTTACCTTAGCGAGTTGTGCCAGATGTTTGTTTTGCACCAAAGCTGAGCGGTACATGGCTAAACCTCCCTCAGTCTTTGACGGTAGCATAAAATACAGGTGAACACTGGAACGGTGAAGAAATGAGAAGAGTCAGACACACTTCTTCAACAAAATTTTACAACACTCACCTGAGGGTAAATTGAATTCTTTAAGGACACAAGTCTAAATGTTTGTCTATTCATTTATTCGAGAGTAAGAGCTCTCCAGTAAATCTCACCTGCTAATCAACTCGAGAACAGCATCTCCAAGGAATTCAAGCCTCTCGTTGTGTCGTATCCTGAAGAAAATGGGCACGAGCACATACAATGAATACTGCTGAAGAAGCCAAAATGGCCCTCATACAGCGCTGATATCAACCGCCTTCTTAGTATTCAAAAGTGCCTTTATCGATAAACTAAACATTAAATTACGCTTAAATTACAAATTACAAGTTGAGACCATAAAAAAGGAAGCATCCTCTGGTAGAGGAGATACGAAATGCATAGGACACCTTAAATTATTCACCACTTTGCGTTTCGAATAAAATTAAGACTAAGAACAGAAACTCCTAAAAAAAAGAAACTCAGAAAGGGAAAGGCTAAGGCGTGTCTGCAAATGTCACTATGCATTGACTGGTATTTTTTAGTTTTCATTCAGGAGTATTACATAACTGTTTCCTAAATGAAGACAGCTACAAGTCACTCTGTCTTGTCTGTCTATCTATCTGTACGATTGTCTGCAAGGTCTGTCTGTCAGTCAGTCTGTATCTTCGTCTGCGTCTGTCAGTTTGTCCGCCTGTCTGCCTATCTGCACGGTGCGTCTTTCCGTCTGTCTTAACGATTCGTTAGTCAGTATAACTTGATGTGTGTGTCTTTCTGTCAGTTTGTCTGTCCGCACAGTCAAGACGGTCTGTCTTGCGTATGAATCTGTCTACATGGTCTCTGTGTCGGTCTATCTGTCTACAAGGTCTGCCTGTCTCTGCGTGTTTGTCCGTCAATCTATCCGTCTGACTCCTAACTGACGTTTCCTACTCTACCTGTCTAACCAATGCGTTATTTTGCCTCCAATTATTTTCCTTCTCGCTTTACTGTGGGATTTAGATTTAGTGAGAGTGCCAGAATCATCAGCAAAACTAAAGAGAATTTGGAAGCCAAGGTCAGAACTCTGTAGTACCAGGATTAGGTGAGGAGGCTGTGAGCACATTAAACCATACTCCGTTCAGAAGGGTTTTTGGTACTATTAAATTTAGGTGATGTAGTTTCTAAAGAAACTGTTATTTTGAGTCTGCGTGCGTGTCAGAGCAATGATATCTACTTTAGAGAGCAACGTCTTGAGCGTTCTCTCTTCACCATGGCAACATCACCACCTGAGATAATCAGGATAAGGGAAAATCTCTGATGTCTGTTAACATATTATCGCACTCAAGTCTAGTATTGTTGCGTTCCACTGCTACCTGGGTGGCCGAACACTCTACTATTTAAAGCTGTATCAAACAACTGTCTGTCGCGTGTGTAGGCGATACAAGAAAATAATAATAACAGATCTGTAGATAAGAACAGATGGGAATGCTAGTTGTTTCACTATGGTTCATAAACTATTTGAAGTACTCACATAGACTGATGTTCTTCCATCTTGCCGAGGTTAGACATTACACGTATCAGTTGGGTTATACCTTAAAAAAAAAAAAAAAAACAGACAAGTTTCAACTGAGTAACAATTAAGCGACGATCATGTAGACGAATAAGGATCAATTGGAAAGCAAAGAAATTGAAACAAAATCCCAGTCCTTAAAAAAAAAAAAAAAAATTAAAATCCAAGACCAGAAAATATTGTTCTGATTGTCTGTTGTAATTAAAATGGTTTTGGCTTGACCAAACGCAATCGAAGAGCGCTGGTATCTTGTCTCCCGTGAGCAAATGTGACGCGTCTCTAGCGTGTTACTTGGGCATTCTTTGGAGGAAGAATGGATACTCAAAGGATATCCAAGAGTCTGTCTCGCAAAAGTTCCGATACAAATCAGTTCCGTAGAGCTGATTTTTGTTGGTCGTGTTCTTATTCAAGAACGAGAAATGATAGCCTTGGAATTCGAAAGATAAAGATACAGAATGTATTAGTTTTTTTGAGCTATGACCCTCTCTTCTCTTCCTTACATTGAGATATAAAAATATGGCCTCAGGTCAGTAAAGTTATCTACAGCATATTTTAAAAATTCTTACGCATGCATGTATTGTTAAAGTATTTGTATAGATATATGTAATTTATTATAATTAAAATATGGGATATAGTTAATGTGGGGATTAAGTTCCTCCCTCTATAACCCAATTGTAATGTAATGTAATGTAATGTAATATAATGTGAATTACGATTACGATTACAATAAAGCTGTTATATAATAAAAAGTTATCAAGACCTGTGAGAAATGGACCTTTAGTGAAAAAAAAAAAATTCGCGAAACAGGATTTGAGAAATCTGGTTCCTTCCTAAATATTCCAGAATGGGATGGATCTTAAACGAACTTAAGTAAAAAGATAAATAATCACGATGACCTACCAATAGAACAAGTAACTTCTTATAAATTGCTTGGTGTAACACACGATCAAGATCTTACATTTAGTGACAACATTTCTAGCCTAAAGGCCAAGCTTTCTCAGCGTATTGGTTTATTGAAAAAGGAAATAAAGGAAAGACTCTTATACTATAACGCCTTGATTAAACCCGTCCTTATGTACGGGAGCATGGTTTGGAATATCTGTGACGCTAAAGAACTCCACTGTCCCCTAAGGTTACAGAAAAGGGCTGCCCGAGTAATTCTTGGAGTGGACTCTTATTCTAGAAGTGTTGTAAACTTTAGTAAACTAGGCTGGTTGCCTTTTTTTGATGAAATCAAATTAAATAAATGTACAATGATTTTTAAGAGCCTTAAAGGCGATGTTCCGATTTACATCAGAGACTTGCTCAAGACGAACAGTTCTGTACACAATAGATCTACTAGACATGGCAATTTAAATTCAGTGTGTCCCAAATACCTACGAAATAACGATGGTAGCAAGGTATTCAGTGTTGACGCAGTTAAGTTATGGAACAGCCTTCCCCATGATATCAAAAATAAGCCTAGTGCAAAACTATTCAAAACAGCTGTGAAAAAGCATCTTATAAGCTCATATAAAAACCTGGACAACTTTGAAACAATATTAAGCAATAGTACATTATCTAATTTTAATTTTTTATAAATTAATTTTATCTTTCTCAATATTTTTAATCCTGCTATTTTTAATCCTACTATTTTTATTATAGAATTCTGTAATTATTTATATATTTATTTATCAGTTTTTTGTAATGTTGTATAATCTAGTTAGAGGGTCACAGGTTTGTCAGCTATACAGCTGTTACGTGTCCCCCGCTATAAATAAAGTCCTTACTTACTTACTTACTTACTTCTCTTAATATGACTGGGTATTCTCTCCCCCTGCGAGTGGGACCTACCTTTTTTGCGCGTGTGCAGATGTCGGATTTTTCTGTCACCATATCTCGGCTGCTTTACTCCACAATTTGAAAGTGAATTGCGGGCATGGTCTGGGTTCATACCAAAGTTGAGGTGATACGAAGGATGGGTTAGGGCAAGCTTTGAATAATACGAAAAAACACCAAAAAAGAAATAAATTTTATACAAAACACTCTTAACTTAATGTAAATACAAATCAACTTCAATTCGCTTCCGCAATATCTAACATACCTGTAATAAAGATCGGTCTTTGAATACGTAACCCATCCTCTCGTCCAGCGTTTTCAGACACATGTGGTAACGCACATGGTGTACGAATACAGGAAGGAGTAGAGCATGCTAGGAAAAAAAGCAAGTATCAACGTGAATCCCTCGGCTGATTGCGAACTCACCTAAGATCTATAATGATGTAAATGCAGACTAAACATGGGCCTTTATTAAAGTTCAATGTTAATTTTATAACTATTTGCGCTATTCTAATTACTTATCTGATTGGGGATGTATTGACAGTGTGAGGTGAACGATAATTTGTCCACGAAATTGCAGCCTTCAGCCTTTATAGAAGTTTTGCACAGCAGCCATGTTGGATGGCAGGAACAATGAAAATATTTTGCATAAGAAAGAAATTTTTTCCCATGAGTAAAATAATCTATTGTTCCTGCCATCCAACTTGGCTGCTGTGCAAAACCTCTATACCCTAAGATCAATATGCACCTTCTCCATACTGTTTTCCATACATTTCGTAAGGTGCGGACAAGGAGAATTTGTGTAACAATCAAAGGCTTCTTTAAGAGGTGACCATTTCCTTTATTCTCCTGACCTTCATGCGTGATTCAGGGGTGATATTGTAAGGAGAAATTAGATGCTGGTCAGTCTTAGGGCCAAAGGGTTAACAAACCTGGCAGACATCAGACTTGAGGCCAGTTTTGATCATTCCTTTACTGCTGACTTCTACCAATACATCACGACGCATAGCGCTGAAAAAAAAACAACAACACAAAAACACAAGATCAAGGCACTGAGATTAACAGCATTTGATCCTTGTGAAATGGATGCATAAAAGTAGTTTAATCGAGTTTTGAAAGTAATCCAATTTTATCAGGAGTCCATTACTTAATGGACTCCTGATATTACATGGTTTTTTTCTTTACTTTGTTCTATGACTGTACCACAGACTCACGCCACCTTTGCGACCGATGAGATGCGAAACTAGAAACAATCGCGACTTAGCCACACACGTGTTCCCGCGCTTGACACTGGTCACGCGTGTTTGCATTTAGTTTTCATTGGTTTCTTATGACGTTCTCTTCCGTCTTGATTAGCAGTTGTAATTATATAGGTTTTGAGTCTAAGACGCTAAATTGAAAGCGCTCAAAGAATGAAATAAATGTTTTAGCGAGTGGAACTTTTGTCACTCTCAAAAATCTTGGGAATGCTGACATTATGGGTCGATTTCCAGGTAACTTTTCACTTAGCTATTAAAATTGCTGAGATTACCAGCCCAAAATAAGCTTGAGTCTCGAGTCTCCTCTACTCGGGAAGAAACAACTTTCCTTTACTCATTTGGCCACTTCAAAGCATTATCAAAGCGAGTTGTACGCGCCCTAACAGAACAGAGTTCCTTAATTTAGTATCCTTTTTAATAAAAGCAAAGTAATTTTCTGTGAGATTATTTCGGTGAACTGTCAGTAGTGTACGCAGAGAAGAATTCCGTGTATAAGTTATGATACGTGATGGACTTTCGTTTTCAGAGTGTGGCTCAAATTATATTAACCTCACCTCTTTACGCGCATATTTTCTAATTCGATCTAAACGGAGAACAAAATAGATGAAAGGGTCACTCAAAATACTCACAAACAAAACAAACAGAATGATAAAAAGAATAAATAAATAAAAAGTAAATATATTTTCCCCATGCTAACCAATTACCTTTAGTTTGACCAGCTTGTCTTGGTTCTTTCGACTTGGTACTGCCCTGAAAGGAAATGACGCGATAAGAAGGAATGTGAAACATGGAGTGTGAGCTCTAATAGAGCGCTATTTGATTGAGTGTAGTAAACCAAAACCAAAGCAATCACAATGGCAAATCAGAACAAAGGAAAATAACTATGAGAACCAATCAGAACTCAAAGTAAAAACAATCCAACTGCCTAAAGCGCGGGAAAACGCTGGCAACCAAGTCGTGATTGGTCGCAATTGATTGGTTGAGAGAGTACTCAAGGTTTTTTTGGACCAATCACAGAGCAAAGTAAAGCAAAACCAATGCAGATTTTACTTTATTTTGGACACTCGATTGAAAATTGCTCTAACACTCAGCTTTAACTCGAAAATGCTCTTAATGGTATGAATCGTAACTAGCCATCCTTTAAACGAGTAGGATACCGGACAGAAAAGCATAAAATCGATTGGTTTTGAATAGAACTGAAAGTTACGATGGATATATGAAGTTCATATATTTTGAACTGCGGTTATAGATACGTATGATGCACGATCCTCGCAGTGGAGAGCGCTATTTATGCAAGAGCGAAAATCAGACCTGTACGGGA